TGTAAAGAGCCGCATATGGCTCGCGAGCCGCGGCTTGCCGACCACTGGCCTAGCCATACATGCTTCAATTCCTTTCGTTCAGCCCAGTACACAGCATGGATGAAGGCATCTCCTCTGCCAGCTATTGTATTCTGACACCAGTAGCTCTCAGAAAACCTTAAAGCGGAGTTCCACTCAAAAGTGGAAGCTCCACTTATTTGTCTTCTCCCCCCTCCACTGCCATATTTGGCACCTTTAGGGGGGAGCAGATACCTGTTTTGACAGGTACCCACTCTCACTTCCAGCTCAGTTCGCCGTGGCAAAGTGAGCTGGACGTTCGCCCCCTCCTTTCTCCCGCAGTCTCCTGGGAACTTTCATAGGTCCCAGAAGACTGCCGGACCAATGAGAATGCGCAGCCGCAAGATGTCACAGCCTAGTGCCCACAATTGTGATGCCGGGGAGAGAAGAAGCAGAGAAGGGATGGCGCAGGTGAGCACATCGCTGGACCCTGAGACAGGTGAGTGTATGTTTATTAAAAGTCAGCAGTTACAGGTTTTGTAGTTGCTGACTTTTAATAAACACATAACTGACTGCAACTCCGTTTTAACAGTGTCTGCATATGATAGCATGCAGTCACTGTTCAACCAATCCGACTACTTCAGTTTTTTAAATGAAGCTTGTTGAACTGGGTGGTGCCAACAGGGCCACCCACAGATTGAATTTCGGCCAATTCAGCAAGAATCTGCTGGTTTATATAAGGTATGGCTAGCATTAGTCTTGGACAGCAACACAGACAGAAGGTACACTAGCTAAGTGGTTAGCACTTCTGCCTAGAAATACTAGAGTTGCCGGTTTGAATCCCAACAACGACACTACCTGCCTGGAGTTTGCATGTTCTCCCTCTCTGTTCAAGCTCCTTGAGGGCAGGGACTGATGTGAATGTACCATATATATGTAACTAGATGGTGCTATATAAGTACCTGTAAATAAATACAAAGCTTTTTTTTTTTTTTATAGAGTAGTGGAGACTAGAACCCACATCTACTTTGTGTTGCTGTGTGCCCATTTCCACTCCCTACCTGTTTGGTAAAAGTGATGTCATGGGGACAAGAGAGAAAACCTCTCCTAACAGTGCCCTGTAAAGTAGTTAAAACCCAACAGGGGTTCTTTTAACCCATCCTCACTTTAAATTACTCCAGTCACATGATTGCACAGCTCTGCTTCCCTTGTGTCAGTGAGCAGCTGCTGCAGGGGAGAAGAGGGAGCACCAACAACAGCTGAGCCACAGGAGCCCATGAGCCGCAGGAACATGTGAGCGGATTGGAGTAAATTCAAAATATGTTAAGTACGCAGATATTTTCCATATGGGTTCAGGCAGGATAGGTGGGTTTGGGGCGAGGGAATATTTTTAGGAATAGTGATCATTAGGGTTTTATTCCACTTTAAGAATCATGCATATCATTTTTGTTTTATTATTTTTTTGGCTAAACTGTTAAACGTATTGCTAACCTTTCAAACAAGTACTGTGCTTCTTTTAAAAAGAACCTAAACCTTTAATTAACCTTTAATTAATTAATTGAAACCTTTAATTAACTCCACCTCCCATGAACTCTTTAGTGGTAAGGGTACACAAAATACATACGGTAATAAAAGATTGATTAAGGCTATAGGTTTACAAAATACATAAAATAACTTAGGTAATACATAGAAATAAAAAGATAAATGTTACAGATTGGATGGATGGATAAGACAAAAAATATTGTATGTATACAGAGATAGGTAGAGGAAAAGAAATAAAGACAGATATAAAGAAAGAGAGATGGAGCACAGGATGGGGGAGAGGAATAAATGGATGGATCTACAGATAGATAGATAGATAGATAGATAGATAGATAGATAGATAGACAGATAGATATCAACTGAATAATTCTTAAACCACATAACATCTATACTCACTGGCATCCCGGCAATGGAAAGGCTCACTACCTATCTTTGCTCTTTTCTGCTCTCTTGCTAGCAATAGAATACAGCACTGAGCACTGGGAGTGTATAATGTTGTGTAGTCTGGTGTCAGACATGGGGATACCCCTAGTGGAGGAGGAGAGAGATAATCCTTTATAGGACCAGCACAGCTCACACTTGGAAGCAGCTGTACACCGTTGAAAACAATGTCAGACAATTTCTCAGAACACATGCCTGGTATTGAGTCTTTGTTATCCTTGGCTTTCACTGCAAGCAGGGTTTTCTCTTACAACCAAAGCGTTTCAGTTTATTATTTTTTAAATAATTTGATAGATAAAACATATTTTCCTACTTCAGAATTATGGACTATTCTGTGTAAATCATTGACATAAATGTCCATTGAAATACATTTTTGTATCATATCCTATAAAATATGAGCAACCATTTTAAAGTATAAATAAAGGATAGAGTGGAGAGGGATTACAATACCTGGCAGATTTTATTGCGGTCTATGTCCTTGTTAAGCTTCCCGCCGCCCTATAGTGGAAATACTGTGATTTGCATTTCCGGGTAGGGGGTGTGCGCACCGCCCTACCTACGCCGCCATTGGTGGCTAGCCATGTCACTCACTGGGTCTCAGCAGAGAAATACATAGCAGCATGCCTGCCTAGTAAAACAGCACACAGCATACAATGTAAAACACACACAGCGCACAAGTTTAAGTTACTGTATTGTGATTTTTTTTAGCAAAGACGTAGCATTTTGGCCAAAATTTATGATAAAATTAGATTTTTAAAATTTTATATTGGATATGTTTTATAGCAAAAAGTCAAAAATATTGTTTGTTTTGTTTTTCAAAATTGTCGGTCTTTTTATGTTTATAGCACAAAAAATAAAACCGCAGAGGTGATCATATACCACCAAAGAAAGCTTTATTTGTGGGGAAAAAAAGACAAATTTCATTTATGTACAGCATTGCATGACTGCGCAATTGCACACTAGGCCATATCGCAAAAAATGGCCTGCTCAGGAAGGGGGGTAAATCCTCTAGAGGGGAAGTGGTTAAGGAGATTCGCTGTTATTTGTCCTCTTTGTCATTATCATTAAAGAAAAGAAAGTAAAAGAAAACCCCAAATTTTGAGTTGTCCCCAGAAAAGTAATAGAGGGAAAATCTTCCAATGGAGACACTAGTCCTGGTCATCTGGGGTCCCCAAGGAATTCCTTTAATTTGCAGCAATTTTCTCTAACTTCCTGTTTGGCTATGGGATAGGAAGTGAAGGGAAATCTCCACGGGGGGGGGGGGGGGGACACAGATGGCGGAAAAAAAAAATGTGACAGGGGTTATAACCCTCCCTTACTCTATCCAAAATGAAAAAAAAAAAGTTTTGCCTATAGTTCTACTTTAAACAACAGTCTCTCCTGTGCAAACAATCAGTTGTGGATAAAGTACAATGGCAGTTTCTTGTGCATCGACAGTACAAAAAATTTCTAATAACACTGTTACTTGATTTTAAATCCCCAATAAACTGTTGGCCTGTGTAGGGGCACAAATGTAATCACCAGAATTTGTAAATATGGACCTTGTTTGAAAAAGGTATAACTGAAATCAAGACTTTTTTACATTTTGGATAGAGTAGAAGGAGATTAGAACACCTGTTGGGTTTTTATTGCTGTCTATTGTGTCCTCATTAAGGAAACAGGATCTATGAATGGAAGACAGGCATATGTCTGAAAAGTCTGCCCACTCCATTGATAAACCATGTTTCATTCGTAGTAACTGTAGCATCAGCTTTTATAAATGGAGCAGCTGGGTAGAAATCCTCCCACTCCAGCCGCCGTAATCTTCTTGTGCATCAGGGGTTAATACTACCAAGGGGTTGTCCCAGGGTCTCATTAAGAGACCTTGACTATGTCCTTGCTTTCCACCCAGCTGCTCCATTCATAAAAGCCATATCGGCTTTTAACATTTCTATGAATGAAACATGGTCTATGAATGGAGTGGGCAGACTTTTCAATCATATGCCTGTCCTCCATTTGTAGATCCTGTTTCATTCATAGAAGCTGTAGTATGACTTCTATGAATGGAGCAGCTGGGCAGATGGAGTATAGTTGAGCACTCTTGATGAGAGCTTGTGACAACCCATTATGCCTAGTACCCACGATGAGAAAATTGGATGAAAATAATGCATTTGGAGTGATCATCTGACAATTTGTTTATTAAGACACAGTTTTCAGGAGCCAATCATGAGAGTTCGTGCAAAAATATCCGAAGGGACAAGCACAAAATTTTTTCTTGCAAGATAACAGAATGAACGATTTTCATGTAATTAATATAGTATTTGTATGAAAAAAAATCGAGACCAAGACCACGCATGCTTGAAAACGAACAAATACATTACAATGTAATACAACACATTACATCACTTAAGAAGTTGCATTCTGTCTTACAAGAATTTTTCTAACTTTAGGAACGTATTCATTTTCAATATGAGACTAGCATGCAAAAAAAAAGGACGATCGTTTGTCCTATATTCTCATCATGTGTACTAGGCATGTAAATATGCATTACTTATACCTGATGGGCTCCTGGGGAAACTGAAAATAATCATAGTAAGTTGACTACCACAGTGATAACAGCGATCTTCCGGATCTTGTTCGGGTTCTGTGAGCGGCTTCCCCTCTGCACACTGACCATAGAAGGAAGGGAGGAATGGTGACCTCACAACCTTCACCTCAACCAGTCAGTCATTTAAAAAATACAAGGCAGTTTATGAATGGAAGCAGTGCTGAGTTAGGGACTCTCTGTGGTCAGCGTGCTGAGGAGAAGCCACTTGCACAGAACCTAAGCAGGTCCTGGAAGATTGCAGCTTCTACTGTAGTAGCACCGACTACTACAGTGATTGTCAGCTTCCCCACAGCCATTCAGGTATGAGATATACATAGTTACATTGTGCCCAGCTGGACCAATGTAAGTATGCAATACAGATCATTCCTGAAGTTTAGCTTTAAATACACAAAACATTCCAGTACATATTTCTGTGTCTTGTACAAATAACTTGTATTTGCATTGGATAAATACCTAATATAATGGTTGTCCTAGAGCTGTACATGCTGTGTTATTAAGTCACTCACCTGTTATTTCTGGAATTTTGTAGAGCATAAATAATCAGTGTAGTTTAGAGAATGTACAGAAACAGGGGCGGACTGACCATTTGGAAACTCGGGCACTGCCCGAGGGCCCGGGGTCAGTAGGGGGCCCCATGAGATGCCCCTGGTACCTTTTTCATAGGCTTTTTTGAGTTTGGGCAAGGACACAGGGGCCCCATGATCCCCTATTGCCTGGGGGCCCATGAGTTGTCAGTCCGCCCCTGTACAGAAATACAAATTATGTTCCCATCTGTGTAATAATTTTTATCTCACAGAATCATTATTAAGAGGCTTAGAGAAGAGACAGCCACAAAATGTACACAAGCATATCTAATCTATAGATAGTGATGACCAACATGTAATAATGAAGACAACGCTTAAAGTGGTTATAAACCTCAGACATGAAATATGAACAAAGCATATCCCTTTGTAGTGTGTATGTCATGTACCTGGATAGTGAGCCTGATGTGAAGAGGCAGGCTTCCGTACAACTCCGGATCAAGGACCTCTGATGGTGAGACAGCAGTCACAGGGGCACGGTGGGGTATGATTGCCTGTAATCAGTCCAGTAACAGCTGATGACCTGTAGGCAGGGAGCAGGGTTCTGATGTAGCCGTGCAGGATGGATGGATACTCACGCGCAGCGTGCTGAGGATGCAGGGTCAGACGAGCCGGGTTCGGTATCAGTCGGGCAGATCAGGCTTACAGCGGCAGGAGGAAGAGTAGTCAGGTCACAGGCCAGGTCAGCAACGGAAAATCAATCAGACAGGAGCGGAGACAGAAGAATAATCCAAGACAAGCCAGAGGTCAGGGCAGGTAGCAGTCAAGCGGAGATCAGGAACAGGCTGGTTCAGTATCAGGAGTCAATCACAGGAATCAGGGAACACAAGCAGGGAAAAGACCATACGGCAATGGGACAACTACTGCAGCCAGTTTAAATAGCCCTTTTGGTGCCAGTATTAGTGACAGGCGCGTGCCCGTATGCGCATGCGCATACGTGCACACACATGTGCGCGCCTATGTCCAAGTGCCTGCACATCTGTTTGGCTAGTAAGAACTCTGCGCATGCGCATATTTGTGCGCCGTGGAACTTCACCTGCACTATGGGCAGGTCATTCCTGACAGTGTACGTGTCTCAATTACGAGCAGTAAGTGTTATTTCTGTCTGCTGCCCTGTTCCTTGATACTTCTGACAAGTTTTCCTGACACCAAGAGAAATATGGTGACAGAGGAGGGACCTCCAGCAAATTCACAGCCTCAGCTCTATTCCTGTGAGCTGTGTGGAGGGGTGGCTCTTCACAATCACTTCTCAGAGATCTCCTTACTGAGCTCTGCAGTGTGTTATTTCAGCTCCCTGTCCCCTGTTTTCTGAAAGCTCAACAAATTTTATAAGTTTGAACAAACATAGAGAAGAGAAGACTGCAGATAAACAGGTACAAACCTGTTTAGGAAGATTTGTTTCATCTATGTGCATCAAATGCATCACTTCACTGGGTATATGTAAGGGTTTACAACGACTTTCATGTAACACCTATTGATAAAAAAAAAAACAGGCCCTGACCCTGTGACAATATCAAAGAATAAAAGCAGCAAGTTCTGAGCTCCTACACATGAATGCCAGTGGACCCTTTATGAGACTATCATCATGCGTATTGTGTTGACGCAGTTGTACCTTGGATTCATTCATAGTCTTCCATCCTTCTTTTTATAGCACAACACAGCTTTCAATGATACCTGTACTTCTTTGGAATTATTGTACTGTAAGGATGTCAGCAATGACGTATTTTTCCAGCACAGGTTTCCTTGGACTGTTGTAGCTTTGCCATTGATTATTACACTACATGTACACAATACAGTGACAACTGACAACTTGATTTACAAAAACAAAGCAGCAGATTACTGAGAGTAACCCTGGTGTACTACAGCTAGATTTGAATGAACAGTCATAGTACCCATCATCCCTTGTTCATGTTCCTTGAAAGATTTCAAAGGCACAAATGAATGCAGCTCTGAATGTATTGATAAATCATTAAGGGGTCTTGCTCACAGTTGTAAAGTACAGTGTTAAATACATCTGTCGTTGTCATGCCTGAAAGCCAAAACAGCAGTGTATTTTATGGCCATAGGAATGCATTGTAGGACACGTAGTGCACATGTATTTTTCAAAATGTCAAATTCTATGTTTTGAAATAAAAGCCCATATGCATGTGTAAGCATATGCTGGTACTGGAGGGTACGTGCACATGGCAGTTTATGTAATGCATCCTTATGGGCAAAAATACTCTGCAGCTGTGAAAATGTGTTTTACACTATACAGGCATACCTCGGTTTACGAATTTAATGCGTTCTCCAGGACATTTCGTATTGCAAAAAATTTGTAAACCGAAATGCGATTTCCCATAGGAATGCATTGAAAACCAATTAATCCATTCCGGAGGTCAGAAAAAAGTTTAAAAAAAGGTCTTTTATCTGTTCAAAACTCTATATAAAGTGCAGTTTAAAAGGCATAAATACTGTACAGGGACATGGTTAAAAAAAAAATAATTTGTAAATGCATTGAAAACCAATTACCGTACGTATATACTCGAGTATAAGCCGACCCGAATATAAGCCGAGGTACCTAATTTTACCACAAAAAAACTGGGAAAAACTATTGACTCGAGTATAAGCCGAGGGTGGGAAATGAGGCACCTACTAGTCAATGTAAAAAATAAAGATAGAGACCCATCATTGGTGTCAGTGGGAGGAATAGTGCCCCATCATTGGTGTCAGTGGGAGGAATAGTGCCCCATCATTGGTATCACTGGGAGGAATAGTGCCCCATCATTGGTATCAGTGGGAGGAATAGTGCCCCATCATTGGTGTCAGTGGGAGGAATAGTGCCCCATCATTGGTGTCAGTGGGAGGAATAGTGCCCCATCATTGGTATCACTGGGAGGAATAGTGCCCCATCATTGGTATCACTGGGAGGAATAATACCCCATCATTAGTATCAGTGGGAGGAATAGTGCCCCATCATTAGTATCGGTGACACCAATGATGCGGCACTGTTCCTCCCACTGACACCAATGACACTTGCTGACCCCTGTTGCAGTATGGTGCTGCTGCAGCCAGCATATGTGGTTGCAGCAGCACCTCTGCACTGCACACTTACCGGCTTTTCCCTCACTCGATTTTCGCGGGTACGCTCGGCTTCGCCTCCTCACCCGTGATTGGCCACCTGTGTACCTTTCCTGAGCTACAGTTCTGGTGGCCAATCCCCGGTGAGGAGGCGGAGCCAAGCGGCAGGCGTGAGGGAGTTGCCGGAGTGACGGAAGGAGCAGCGCTTCCTGGATGGATCATCGTGGGAGCCAGGTAAGAGACAGCAGCCCTCTGCCCACCCCTGTACGCGCCCCCCTTGACGGAGCCTCGCGCCCCCCTTGCTAGACATCTGCAGACGTTGACTCGAGTATAAGCCGAGGGGGCCGTTTTTCAGCACAAAAAATGTGCTGAAAAACTCGGCTTATACTCGAGTATATACGGTAATCAGTTCTGGAGGTCAGAAAAAAGAAAAAAAAGTGTTCTGTTCAAAACTCTTTATATAGTGCACTTTAAAGGCACAAATACTGTACAGGGACATGATTAAAAAATATTCGTAAATGCATTGAAAACCAATTAGTTCGTTCTGGAGGTCAGAAAAAAGTAAAAAAAAAGTATTTTACCTGTTCAAAACTTTTTATAAAGTGCACTTTAAAGGCATAAATACTGTACAAGGACATGATTAAAAAAATGCATTGAAAACCAATTAATCCGTTTCGGAGGTCAGAAAAAAAGTCAAAGTCTTATCTGTTCAAAACTCTTTATAAAGTGCACTTTAACTGCTTGCCTACAGGGCACTTCTACCCCCCTCCTGCCCAGGACAATTACCAGCTTTCAGCGCTGTCACACTTTGAATGACAATTGCGCGGTCATGCAACACTGTACCCATATGAAATTTTTATAATTTTTTTTAGACAAATAGAGCTTTATTTTGGTGGTATTTAATCACCTCTGGGTTTTTTTTATTTTTTCTTAAACCAAAAACCACTGAAAATTTTGAGTAAAAGTTTTTTCTTAGTTTTTGTTATAAAATTTTGTAAATAAGTGATTTTTCTCCTTCACTGATGTGCACTAATGAGGCTGCAGTGATGGGCACTGATAGGCTGCACTGATGGACACTGATAGGTGGCACTGATGGGCACTGATGAGGAGGTACTGGTAGGTGGCACTGATGGGCATTGACAGGCATCACTGATGGACACTGAAAGGCAGCACTCATATATGGCACTGATAGGCGGCACTGACTGGCACTGATAGGCAGCACTGATAGGCAGCATTTACGGGCAGTGATAGGCAGCACTGACTGGCACTTATTGGTAGCACTGATAGGTGGCACTGACTGGCACTGATGGGTGACATTGAAAGGCAGCTCAGATGGGCACTGATATGTGGCATAGATGTGCACTGGTAGGCGCTGATATGTGGCATTGATGAGCACTGACAGGTAGCACTGCTGGGGCTACACAGATCATCAGGGCACACTGATCATCAGTGCCCTGATGATCAGTGTACCTGTCCCCTCCGCGGAAAGCCGATAACCGGCTCTCCTCTCGAGCTGTCAGCGTGACAGCTCGTGAGGAGAGAAATGCCGATAACCGGTATTTCCCTATTTACATGCGATCAGCTGTGATTGGACACAGCTGATCACATGACCGAGCTGATGTCTTCGGCTCTTTCTGTGGATCAGTGATCTGCTGTGTCCGAGGGACACAGCATATCGCCATGCTGTGCGCTCCTGGAGCCGCGCATGCGCGGTTAGAATGGGATGGCGTTATATGACGTCCTCCCAGAACAAGAGAACCGCCTTGCGCCTGTCATTACACTATATGGCAGGCGGGAGGCGGTTAAAGGCACGGGGATGACGCTATAAACCCCCCAGGCACAATGCATCCTGGGGAAACTTGCTTCCTATTGTGAAAAAAATTTGTAAAGCGAGGCATTATTTTGGATGGATTTTCATTCGTAAACTGAAAATTACATTAACTGAGGCGTTCGTAAACCGAGGTACGCCTGTATGTTCATATGCTGTATTTTATGGCCCTGTGCAGGAGGTTTATATGTATAAAATGCAAAAAAAAAGAAAAAAAAAAAAGAAAAGAAAGTCTCTCCCTGTAAATCCAATCAATCATGATGCCTGCCAGTGTTGCCAACTCCTAAAGTGAAATTTACTGACAGGATGCCCAAAATTAAAAACCGCACAAATTTTGTTACTGACAAAAATCGTGACATTTACTGACAGAGCCAAATTTTTACTGACACTTCAAAAAAGTCCATAAAACTACCGTTTTACGTGCAAAACCTTGCAAATATCAACATTTACAATGTATATACAAACATGTAGCTAGTGCTATTAGCAATGCATTTAAAGTGTTACTAAACCCACAACAGTATCAGTCTGTATATGCAGTAAAGCATGCTTGTTATACTCACTGTAGAACCTAAGGGGTTAATCCTCTGCATTGTGTAAAAAGGCTGTTTGATCCTGTCTACTCTGATCGTTCCCTTCTTCCACATTCCCCAATCCATCTGCTGATAGTACAGAGCCCTAGGAGGCACTCTGCACATGCTCAGTTTGGTGTGTATTGCTAGAGAGGGTTTTTTTTTTTTTTTTTAGGAGGGGGCATGTGATCAGCACAGGATTTGGGGGTCATGCAGCCTCTTAGGACAGTCAGAAAAGAATTAAATCTCCTTCTACAAGCTTTAATTAGTGCTCAGCCAGACACTGATAGAATTCACAAGTTTGCAATATACAGCTGATGAGAAAAGGTATTTAGCAGTTTATACATTGCTCAAAAAAATTAAAGAAACACTTTAAATACACATCAGATCTCAATGGGGAAAATATCATGCTGGATATCTATACTGATGTGGAATGGATAATGTGTTAGGAACGTAAGGATGCCCCATCGTTTGATGGAAATGAAAATGATCAACCTACAGAGGACTGAATTCAAAATCAAAAATCAAAGTGAATAAATGATGCAGCAGGCTAGTCCATTTTCCTAAATTGTCATTGCAGCAACTCAAAATAGTACTCAGTAGTTTGTATGGCCCCCACGTGCTTGTATGCATGCCTGACAACGTCGGGGCATGCTCCTAATGAGACGATGGATGGTTTCCTGGGGTATTTCCTCCCAGATCTGGATCTGGACAGTCTGAGGAGTAACCTGGTGACGTCGGATGGACCGAAACATGATATCCTAGAGGTGTTTTATTGGATTTAGGTCAGGCGAGCGTGGGGGCCATTCAATGGTATAAATTTCTTCATCCTCCAGGAACTGCCTGCATGCTCTCTCCACATGAGGCCGGGCATTATCGTGCACCAGGAGGAACCCAGAGCCCACTACACTCACGTAGGGTCTGACAATGGGTCCAAGGATTTCATCCCGATACCTAATGGCAGCCAGGGTGCCATTGTCTAGCCTGTAGAGGTCTGTGCGTCCCTCCATGGATATGCCTCCCCAGACCATCACTGACCCACCACCAAAACGGTCATGCTGAACGATGTTACAGGCAGCATAATGTTCACAGCTTCTCCAGACCCTTTCACGTCTTTCACAGTTGCTCAGGGTGAACCTGCTCTCATCTGTGAAAAGCACAGGGTGCCAGTGGCGGACCTGCCAATTCTGGCGTTCAATGGAAAATGCCAATCGAGCTCTATGGTGCCAGGCTGTGAGCACAGGGCCCACTAGAGGCGTCAGGCCCTCAGGCCACCCTCATGAAGTCTGTTTCTGATTGTTTGGTCAGAGAAATACACACCAGTGGCCTGCTGGAGGTCATTTTGTAGGGCTCTGGCAGTGCTCATCCTGTTCCTCCTTGCACAAAGGAGCAGATAGCGGTCCTGCTGATGGGTTAAGGACCTTCTATGGCCCTGTCCAGCTCTCCTAGAGTAACTGCCTGTCTCCTGCAATCTCCTCCATCTCTTGAGACTGTGCTGGGAGACACAGCAATCCTTCTGGCAATGGCATGTATTGATGTGCCATCCTGGAGGAGTTGGACTGCCTCTGCAACTCTCTGTAGGGCCCAGGTATCGCCTCATGCTACCAGTAGTGACACTGACCCTAGCCAAATGGAAAACTAGTGAAACACAGTCAGAAAAGAGGAGTAGGGAAATAAATGTCAGTGTCCTCCACCTGTAAAACCATTCCTGTTTGGGGGTCGTCTCATTGCTGCCCATCTAGTGCACATGTTGTTAATTTCATTAACACCAAAGCAGGTGAAACTGATTAATAACCCCCTCTGCTACTTAACTGACCAGATCAATATCCCAGGAGTTTAAGTGACTTGATGCTATACTCTGATTAAAATGTGTTTCTTTAAATTTTTGAGCAGTGTATTTACGAAAATAATTGCATTTCTATGTACTGTGTATTGTGGGAGACCAGATATAGTGAATGCAGGCTCCTGGGTTTACTAACTCTTTAAGGTATGAAAAAGGCAAAAACATGTTTCTCCATTTACCTAAAGGTCAGGTTAATAACCCAGCACAGAGTTTCCCCTTACATCAGAGTCTGCAGGGTCCCCCTTTTACAGTGCAAAGGGAAACTCTGCGGACTTTGATGTAAAAGGGAACACTGGACTCTGATGCAAAGGAAAACTCTGATGTAAGGGGGAATGCTGTGGACTCTGGTGTAAAGGGAAACGTTGATGTAAGGGGGTCTCTGGTCACTCGAACCCCCCTCTTACATAAGAATTCACAGAGTTCCCCTTTAAATCACAGTCCACAATATTTTTCCTCACATCAGAGTCCAGATTTCCCCTTTACATCAGAGTCAGTAGGGTTCCCCCTTATAGTGCACTGACAGTAAAGACAGTAAAGGGGAACTCTGAGGACACTGATTTAAAGGCTAACATCGGGTACTCAGGTTTGGGGGGGGGCAGGAGGGTCCTGGTGACTGCAGACCACCTTCAGCAGAGTGAATACTCTATGGTAAGGGGGTTATTGATATAAGCGGAAACTTTTATATCAGTGTCCCCCCTTATTTTAGTGTATTCACCCCCCCTTCTCCCCCCACAGAGTGTGTGACCTGACTGGCTGGGAGCTCTCACTGATCTGACCTCCAGGCTCCTCCATTGCTCGCTTGGGTGCAGCAGGCCTGTCCAGTCAGCTTGATCCTCTGCTTTGATTTTCTCACCACCTCTATCCTCCTCTTCTCCTCCACCAAGGAAGGACTGTTCCAAATGACAATGGAAATGAAAATGGTAATGTATTTATCATTTTTTGGAACTAGTAATACATCAAAATGGTGCGCTATAACAAGTATCCCCCATAACAGAAGAACTCCAAACTCCCCCATATAAACAACAGAATGCAGCTATAATGACTGGCTCACTACTAATAATGAAGGACACTAACCTAAGCTAAGTCCCACCTATACAAACACAATCTAACAACTCCCAGGCTAACCTGTCATTAAAAAGATTAAAAAATAGAAAAAAATAGAAAAAAACACATCCAAAGCTTACAGACAAAAACATTTTCCAAACAAAGCCAATGTGTTCCTCCAACCAGCTACTATAGCTTCACGCATCCACTTACAGACAAAGTTTAAAATACCTCCATTGAGCCCAGTTAGGTTTTAATAAAAAAATCCTTTGTGGTGACCCTGTCTCTACCGGGTCACTTGTACACAATAAGAACCCTTTAAAAGAAGAGGCAGCAATAACACTATAACATACAGTATTTACTCATGTGCTGGGATGAATGTTCATCCTCCTGTTCTGATAATCTGATGTATCCGGCTCAGCTGAGCTTCCACCTTCACCCATGCCCCACACCAAGTGGCGCCATGATGACACCAATGTGGCACCAGCCAGCCGCCTCCTGTCCAAGTCCAACTTTGACTCTGAGTTCCCCGATCCCCATGGCCTTATATTTTACGGGCAGTTACTGTCTGTAACTGGCTGATTTTACAAACTGTCCATAAAGTTCTGGACGGTTGGCAACCCTGATGCCTGCTGCCTGCCAAAATGGAAAACCTGATGGATCCAGTGCACACAACCGATCCCAGTGATACTCCTTGCTGAATGACAGTTCCCAGTGCTGTCATCAGTTATATAAATGAAGGGGCGGGAGCAGAGGCAAACTGACCATTTGGGAACTCGAGTACTGCCCGAGGGCTCGGGGTCAGTAGGGGGCCCCATGAGATGCCCCTGCTACCTTTCATAGGCTTTTTTGGGTGTGGTTTGAGTGTGGGCGAGGACACAGGGGCCCCATGATCCCCTATTGCCCGGGGGCCCCATGAGTTGTCAGTCCGCCCCTGGGTGGGAGATAGTGATGACATCGCTGTCCAGATATGGTCAGTGGCCATATTTATGCCACTGCTATCTTCGCCCCTTTGCTTACATGGCCAGGGTCAATGGTGCTGGTGATGTCAGTGTTTGCTATGGAGTTGGCGGGTGCCAGCACTCAATGATACCCTAATGCTGTCATATATACTGTAGAAGCAGTAGAAATACTGCTTCTATATATAAAGTTTGGCTCCTGGTGAACAGGCAAATGTTTTGCCTGGATTTGGGCTTTGGGTACAAAGCTCAAGTTTAATCTGCTTATATTTTGCCTTCCTTGGATCATCCATCCCATTTCATTAACATGCCTATAACATTTTTAAATAAAACCTGCTTTCATTACATTCTTTATTTTAGACCCAGTGATGTCATAACTAGGTCTCTGTTCTTCTTTCTGTATATCAGGCAGATCAGGGGTGGTCCATAACCTCCTGAATCCTACAGACCACACTAGGTAAAGCCCATGAGTGATGCTGAGCCTCCAAAATCCACAGAACTGAAATCCAGTGAATGAAAGTGGTTGGCCAGTAATAGTTCAGGAAATGAGGTTGGCTGTGTCCGCCTTGCTGTTATTTGTAATGCACACAGTGAAAAGCTCACAGTGTGCAGTGAAATTAGAGTAAGCAATTTTAGTGCAGGAGATGGATCTGTACAACTAGGGAAGGCTGGAGTTCAGCTTTAAATTTAAATGACAGAAGGTTTATAGAATGAAAGCGCAAAAGGAAAAGAAGTGTCAATTTGAAAACCTAATATGTATGTGTTGGGTATACTACAATTATGTTTCCTTGACGTATAACAAAACCGAACACCTCCTACAATATCTTGGCTCATTGACTCATCATATGACACATGCTATATATTATCACTAAAATGATCCGTAGTACTTCAGACTAAGTGTAGATTACTCAGATATACTGCATAATATGTCATTTTATGTGCAGTAGATGGATTCCTCTTGTAGTCGCAGTACCACACAAATGTTTATATCATGCACAAGGGTCACTATATCTGAGTCATATCATTTTCATAAGTATGTTTATAGTAGATTTAAATCACATTTAATGAAAATTGACATTTTTCTTCTAGTAAATACTGTTTTATACCTTTTTTCATTATTTTTGTATCTCACTGCTGCTAATCTAATCCAACCTCTGTGCAGCAATGTCCTGTCTATGTGCACACTCTTCAGCATTGGCATTGCTCAGGAAGAATTACTAATTTCGATTGTCAATTTTATGTGCAGTAGATTGTGATTCCTCTTGTAGTCGCAGTACCACACAAATGTTTATATTTGAGTCTATCATTTCATAAAGATGTATTATAGTAGATTTAAATCACAATTTAATGAAAATTGCATTTGTTTCTTCTAGTAAATTAACTTGTTTATGGAATCACCTTTTATCATTATTTTTGTATCTCACCTGCTGCTAATCTAATCCCAACCTCCTGGTGCAGCAATGGGTGCACACTCTCAGCATTGGCATATTGCATTGCTCAGAAGAATGGAGAAACATGTCTCCATGCTTTTAGCCTCTGCTGGAAGCTCATGTGACAGGTTGACAACACAAGAGAACAACTCGGCAGGGAAAGAGTTCTAACCACCCAAGGGGTGGGAAGTATCGATGATCATCTGACCACTGTAATCGGCTATGAAAGTGGTCACTTAATTAGGAGCCGGTCACACTGGCTACCAATCGTTAGTTGGGACTGAGAGCTGTCCTTGATTACTCACTCTGGTGAGTAGATGAGAATGCAAACTGTCAGGACAGGCATCTGAACCCACCTCTGCTGTGTTCGGCAAAAGCTCTTACTGAGCCACCTGGAATGCTGGACAGCACCTCTGCCACCCCCTTCTGCCTCTCCCTCCACTGGCTCCCGATTGTCCAACGCATCAAATTTAAACTTCTAATCCTGACCTACAAAGCCGTTCATAACACTGCCCTTGACTACCTCACCAACCTGATCCCCAAGTACCACCCTACCCGTACCCTTCGCTCCTCACAGGACCTCCTTCTATCCTGCTCCCTGGTCTCCTCCTCCCATGCAGGACTGCAGGACTTCTCCAGGTCCTCCCCTATCCTCTGGAACTCACTGCCCCAATCCATCGACTGTCGCCTTCCCTCCCCACATTCAGGCGCTCCCTCAAAACCCATCTTTTCAGGGAAGCCTACCCCACCCTCACCTAACAGCCTTTCTCCCTCATTCCTCCCACCACTTCATCCCTCTCAGCCACTTCATTCCCCTAGCCACTTCCTATTGTTCCACTACCCCCTCCCTCCTAGATTGTAAGCTTGAAAGAGTAGGCCCTCTTACCCCTCATACGCTGTCTGTCTTTGTTGAACTGTGCCATGTATTGTCCCCCCTATTGTACAGCGCTGAGCAAACCCTTTGGCGCTATATAAACTCGATGTAATAATAATAATATGCTTGATCCCTACCTGGTATTTCTCGTACTGGACCTCAGCTTGCTCACTTTCTGGTGGTATGATCCTGAGGACTGCAACCTGGTACTAACATGCAGAAAAACCTATCTCCACCATCAGGAGCTTTGGTGAATACTGGTTAGTGCTTAGACCCCACACCTCAGGTGAGCCTGTGTCATCTACCAGGGTGACCTGCTTGAGTACTTATCGAGCTGTTCTCTTTACTGCTATAGATACTGGTCTCTTAGCCTGACCCCTTACAGTGACACCGATAGACAACCCTCTATATTTACAAGTGGGGGCACCCCCTTTTTAGTAAGTTGACCTGGATCCAGATTTGGCCAGCCTGTCGGTCCACATCTTCCATCAGGCTTGTGCTCTAGGCTTGGACTTGAAGCTTGTCCAAGGAGATAAAGATGCTTCTTGTATGGGAATTCTGCCAAACCACATTTGAGCCAGGGGATTCTTCTCATGTGATCAAGGAGGAGGCTCATCCTTGGCATCTAATGAAGCGTATTCACTAGGCCATCCACACAGTAGCATAAAGCCGCAGGTAAAAACTCTAGGGGGTGGTGAACAGTGGGATCCATTAAAATGGAGCTAGGGTCTTGGATTATACACTTAATCCAGACAGTAAGAATCTGGCAGACAGCCATAGATACAACCACAGGTTGCTTGGCTTAGCGGGAAATGCCAGAGAAAACAAGGTCTTAAAGAGGGTTTCTAACCTCTTGTCTACCAGATCCTTAAAAATGGGAAAATCTTCCACAGGAACTGCCACAGTCCTATTAAATTGGAAAAAATCTTAATGAAAAAAACATTTGAAAAGGCAGGCTCTATATTGCAATATAAAATAACCTTACCTTTCTGTTATTATTATACAGAATTTACTGCGGGTAAAATCAGTACTGTATTGAACACAGCACCATTTTTCTCAGTAAATATATTTCTAAAGGTACATTGGCATGGATTTTGTTTAGCACACGTCGGTAAAACCCATGGAATCCATACATACAAAGAAACCAAAACAAATAAGTTCAGAAATTAAGTTGTGTAATAAAATGGAATGACACAGGGAAAAAAAAATATTGAAAATGCTGACTGTAATTTATGTAATATTTGATACAAAATCCTTGTTGGTAATGACAGCTTCAAGATGCCTCCTGTATGGAGAAATTTGCTGCATGAATTGCTCAGGTGTGATTTTGTCCCATTCTTCCACACAGTCTTAGGCCCCTTTCACACTTGCGTACCGTTCGTTTCATCAGTTCAGTCACTTTTTTTCAAAGAAAAAAATGGATAGGTTTACATCAGTTTTTCACATCCACTAGCAATACAAAAACAGATAGTTTGTTTACATCAATTTACATCTATTTTTTGTAGGTTATGCTTTTTTAATAGATCAAAAATAGGCCTGTGATCCGTTTCAAAAAATGGATGTTGAAGTACAGAGTTCCAGAGGATGGAGAGGCTTTGGAGAAGTGCTGGAGATGAGCATGGGAGGAGGAGACAAGGGAGCTTGAGAGCAGGAGGTCTTTAGAAGACAATTTGGGTGATATTTGGAGACAAGATTGGTGATGTAGCTTGGCAGAGTTGTGAATGGCTTTGTATGTTGCTGTTAGTATTTTGAATGTAATTCGCAATCAGAAGCCAGTGGAGGAATTGGCAGAAACTGAGCGGTTGGTAAGGTAGATAAGTCTGGTAGCAGCATTCATGATAGCCTGAAGAGGGGATAGCCTATGGAGAGGTACAGTTGTGTTCAAAATAATAGCAGTCAGACATCACTAACCTGATCAATCACTGTTTTTGGTAGAAATGATATTTCTACATGGCAAATAATTTACTAGCAGGTGTAGTAGAGTAATAGAAATCCAACAGACCCAACAGTCATGACATGCATGCTGCTGATTCTGTGTAATTGAATCACTAATTGAAAGGGGCATGTTCAAAATAATAGCAGTGTGGAGTTCTATTAGTGAGGTCATTCATGCTTTGAAAAACAGGTGGCAATTATTGCCCTTATTTAAGGAAGGAAGGCAGCAAATGTTGTACATGCTGGTTACAGTGCATTTCTCTCTGAAATTCTGAGGAAAATGGGTTGTTCCAGACATTGTTCAGAAGAACAGTGTACCTTGATTAAAAAGTTGATTGGAGAGGGGGAAAACATATAAAGAAGTGCAGAAAATGATAGGCTGCTCAGCTAAAATGATCGCAAATGCTTTAAAATGGCAACCAAAACCTGAAAGACGTGGAAGAAAGAGAAAAACTAACATTTGAATGGATAGAAGAATAGCCAAAATGGCAAGGACTCAGCCAACAATCAGCTCCAGGAAGATCAAAGAAGGTCTAAAGTTATCTGTGAGTACTGTTACAATTAGAAGACGCCTATGTGAAGCCAAGCTATCTGCAAGAAGCCCCCGCAAAGTCCCACTGTTGAAAAAAAGACATGTGCTGAAGAGGTTACAATTTGCCAAAGAGCACATTGACTGGCCTAAAGAGAAATGGCGCAACATTTTGTGGACTGATGAAAGTAAGATTGTTCTTTTTGGGTCTAGTGGC